GGTGAAGACGCCGCAGGGGACGAAGGTAACGTGCGCCAAAGGGGAGCAGGGGTCTCTGCTGGACTACTGCTTGGTGCGCAAGGACTTTGCGGACCAGGTGATGGTAGAGGCGGAGCTGGAGGTGCCTTGGAAGGTGCACTGCGCGCTGCTCATCACACTCAAGGGCTCCTACCAAGAATGGTGGGCGAGGGCGCTCGTGGTGCCCAGGGCGCTGCCGCGGACGCAGAGGCCGAGGAAGAGCGCGGACCTCAACAGCAAGACGAGCAAGATGAAGCAGAAGAAGCTGCAGGAGAGGAAGTCGAGACTCCCCCCGGAGGAGCAGGAGGCCTTCGCGAAGCTGTACGAGGAGGATGAGGTCTGCCAGGAGCCCAAGGCGCCTTTCCAGGTGCCACTGGAGTGCTGGAGGCAGGCGGAAGTGCAGCTGGCGCAGACAGGATTTCCAGGGCCCGTTGTGGGCACGTACACGGGCCCGGTGCAGCAGCTGGACGACCACGTCGCCTACCAGGGCCGCGAGGAGCAGGAGAAGGACCTCTCGCATAGGTACGGCAACTGGGTGAGCAAGCTGGAGCTCGCACTGCTGGCCGTCCAAAAGGTGGAGGAGTCGGAGAAGGCGCGCTACCTGGGGCGCGGGAGGGGCTTCGACCTGAAGTGGGTGAAAGCGAAGGTCACGCCAGGCAGGGCACACATGAAGTGCCACAAGTCTGACGCCATGTGCTATGCGCTCACGCTGATGCGGAGGTACCAGACGCTCGCGCGTGGCAGGCGCGATGAGGCTCAGCGAGGCCGGGTGAGCTGCAAGCTCAAGAGGATCGCCAAGGAGACGCTGGACCAGGGCATGGCAGACTTTTTCGGCAGCGCGCGCTTCATGGTCTGGCAGAAGATGATGGTCAAGGTCGAGACCCTCTCGGCGGCGCACCGACAGAAGCTGCTCGAGCTGACGGGCACGCTGGCGGCGGCAGGGCAGGCGCGCGCGATGGGGGAAGCACGAAGAGCCTACACCAAGTGGGTGAAGGAGATGTGGAGCGACAAGATGGGGGTGCTGCACAAGCACGTGAAAGACGAGCCGACCATCATCAACGAGATCTGCACGGGCACCTCCACCACGGCGGACCCTACGGCGATCATGAATGACCGGGCGTCCAAATGGAGAGGGTTGTGGCAAGACCCGAAGGTGAGCTTGGAGGACATCCAGGGGCAGCTGCAAAGGACCCTGGAGATAGCGAAGGAGGAGGACTACCCGCCAGTGGAGCAGGAGGAGTTCGACAGGGCGCTGAACTCCATGAACGGCAGGAAGGCGATGGGCGTGGACGTGCTGAGCTCGACGGAGGTGCAGAGGCTTCCGCACGAAGCGCGCGAGGAGCTGAGGCAGCTGATGAACGATGCCGAGGCCCAGGGCGTCTGGCCTCGCCAGTGCATGGCGGTGGTGGCGGCATCAGTTCCGAAGCCTGCTGGGGGCGACAGGGTGCTGGGCATGATTGCCCTTATGCCCAAGATATGGAGCAAAGCTCGAGGCGGTATCGTGGACAACTGGACAGAGCAGCTCGGGGCATTCTGGGACGGCGCCCTGCGAGGGTGCTCTGCGCTCAGGGCTGCGCTGCACCGTGCCCTGCTCGACGAGGTGGGCAGGGAGATGCAGCTGGCGTCGGCCACTCTCCTCCTCGACCTCCAGACCTTCTACGACACGATCAGCCTGGCGCTGCTCATGGAGCTGGCAGTGCAAGTGAAGTACCCTGCCATCGTCGTGGCCATGGAGGTGGAGCTCTTCTTGGGCCCTCGCATCCTGAAGGACCAGCGCCACGGCATCAGCGAGCTGGTCTGGCCGGCGCGCTCGGTGGTGGCGGGGTCGGCGAGGGGGGTATCCCTGGCCAAGGTGTTCATCCACGGGGTGCTGGAAAAGGCCCACCAGGTGGCCCCGCAGGCGTCCCTCTGGACATTCGTGGACGACACGACACCCCGGTGCGAGGGATCTCGTCAGATGGTGAAGCAGGAAATGAAGCAGGTGGCGACCCAGTTCGTGGAGGGCTTCGTCGAGGAGCGAGGCCTGATCATCTCGAACAAGACCAAGCTGCTGGCGTCGGACACGCAACTGGGCCGAGAGCTACAGGCGGAACTGGAGTCGCCTGCTCTGCCGCTGCAGTTGGCGCTGGACGCCACTGACCTGGGCGGCGACGCGGCAGCTGGGCGGAGGCGCTGCTGCAAGAAGCAGCGCACGAGGCTGCTGGCGGCCGGCAGACGCGCTAGCCGCATCACGAGAATGAGGAGGAGCGCGGCTCTCGCCAAGGAGGCGCAGGGGCTGTGGAGCACGGGGGCTTCTCCACAGGCCACCTACGGCCACCAGCTCCAGGGCCTGGCGCCGTCGAGCGTCAGGAAGCTGAGGCAGCAGGCGGGCGCGGCAGTGGGAGGCAAAGCTGGCGGACGCTGCCTCACCACGGTCCTGGCGGCGGGGCTTGAGGAGGACCCAGCCATCAAGCTGCGCATCCAGTTGGTAGACTCGTGGCTGGAGCTCTGGGAGACGGCGCCTGAGGTCCATGCGAGGATCCATAGAGTCTGGCCTGCCATCCGCGGCGCGCTCCTGAGCGCCGGCGCAGCCCGGCGCTGGCGGCGCGTGCGTGGCCCTGTCGGCGCACTCGTGGCAACGCTCATGGACGTGGGCTGGGATCCGCGCACTGCTGGCGCGTGGAGCAGGCCAGAGGTGGACGGCGCGATCACGGAGTGGCACCTGGTGGAGTCGAGCTCGGAGGCCTTTGGGAGCTTCATCGATCGGCAGCCCATCCTGCACGACCTCCGCGAGGACATCATGCGCCAGCTGTGGAAGCAGGCGGCGGCCCACGAGGACGGCGGCAACTTGGGGGAGCGGCGCGGACATGCTGCATGCGAGGCGCGAGCTCGACCGATATGCTCGAAGAGGCATGTGGGCGGAGTGGAGTCGCACGATGGCAGTGATAAGCGGCGGGCAGTGGAGCCGCGCCAGGAAGCGAGAGCGCGGCTATGCCGTCAGCGCCACCTGCCCGAGATGCGGGCTGGAGCCAGAGACGCTGACCCACAGGATCTGGAAGTGCACGGAGAACATCAGCGAGGGCAGTGAGTTCGCCAAGTCGGAGCACCTGGTGGCGAGGGCGCTGGCCAGTGTAGAGAGTGAGCCCTCGGTCTGGCTGCGAGGCCTAGTGCCGAACCACCTCACCACCCCCAGGTTCGATGAAGAGCGATTGGCTCAGGAAACCTTGTTTTTTGGGGTAGGTGAGCTGGGTGACTATCGGAGGGACGGGGTTTTGACGCTGTTTGGGGACGGGTCGGGCGGGAAGCACTCGGACGATCAGCGTCGCCGTAGGTGTGGAGCGGCTGTCGCTGCCCTGGCCTGGCGTGAAGATAGCTGGTGCCTGGGGGCGATGATAGCCGCGCCGCTCCCTGGCTGCCGACAGTCTGTGCCCCGATCGGAGACGCTGGCCCTGGCGATGGCCCTTGAGCAGACTACGGGATCGGTGCACTTCGTGACGGACCATCAGGGTCTTTTAAAAGCCTGGCCCCGGAGAAGGCGCAAGGCCACCAGGGGGCCCAACGAGGATCTCTGGGCGAGAATTCGCGCGGCGGCCGAAGGCCGCGAGGTCTCTCTGGAATGGGTCCCCTCTCACGCTGAAGAGGAGGACGCGGGCCGTCTGGTCACAGACAGGGACCTCTTCCTTGCTGTGGGCAATGCCACGGCCGACCATGGGGCGGGGGAGGCGGCGGAGCGGGCTTGGGAGGGATTCGTCATGCATGCTGCTCCCCACGCTGACAGTTGGGATGCTGTTGCCGCTCTTGTCAGACGTCGAGCGTCCAAGGCCTTACAACTTGCCCTGGACTGCGACACGACCCGGGCCGAGCGCGAAGATATCGCGCCTCGTGGGGCCCGCGAGAGCGGCGTGAAGATAGCTCTCCGCGAAATGGGCCACCAGATGGCCCAGGACGGCGCTAGATGGAGATGCGAGGTGTTCAACCAGCGAGTGCATGCCTCGAGCCTGCTGGAATTCTGAAGCACTGCGTGCGTACCTCCGCCAGCCCCGCCTGTCCCGCCCCCTCCCGTCCTGAACAGGGCCCCCAGGGCTGTGGGCGAGGGTGTTTTGAGGGGCCTGGGCGGGAGGGAGCTGCACAGCACTCACAGACTTGGAGAGTGGCCCAAGTATTGTATGGTGTTCTGCCACGAATGCGGTAGGTATGCGACGGAAGATTTCAGACAGCTCGAGGCCAGATGCCTTGGGAGATCACGGAAAGGAGCCGAGAATCTAGCTCGCATCAGGCGACACCAGTACCCACGCCGCGAGGGCCCTCCTAAATCGGTCCTCGAGGCGTTGCATGCGCGCGTTTGTGCTGAAGAGATGGCCAAAGCGACTGTGGCGGGGGACCCTGGGGCCCGAGGACCTGCCCTATCGGCTGTGGCTGCGTAGAGAGCTCAGGACGGTGCTCCCACGGTGATTCCTGGCGACTCCTGTCAGCCTGTGGCAAGGCCCCTCGACCCAGAGGACGAGCCAGCAGAGTGGCTTTTCGGCGGCGCGGACGAGGACGATCCGTGCCCGCCAGATTTGGCGCGAGATGCGCCTGAGAATTGAAGCCGATTCCGTGACCTCTTGAACCCCCGGAATGCCCGGAATCTGTTTCACCATTTTAACGCTGGCGTGTTGCCGAGCCACTTGTGCCAGCGTTCTCCGGCAGAGCGTTTCCGGAGCACGCTGGATGAATTTGAAGACGGCTCTCTCGGCACCAGGGTCGTGGTGTTGGTTTCGACTTTCCCCCTGGTGCTGCGATGCCGAGCTGCGAGCTGTGCCGCGTGGACGGCCACACTGCGTAATCCTTACAGCGTAGTCCTCCTCCTCCTCGCCCTCCTCCCCCTCCTCCTCACTCCTCCTCCCTCCTCCTCCTCCTCCTCCTCCTCCTCATCGCTCCTCCTCCTCCTCCTCCTCCTCCTCCTCCTCCTCCTCCTCCTCCTCCTCCTCCTCCTCCTCCTCCTCCCTCCCTGGCTCGAGGGCGACCAGCTCTGCCGTTGCGAACTGCACGTTGTTGAAGTACCCGTATCTGCCGACGCCCTCGAGCCACCTGCGGCGCGGCCCCGACGGCTGTGGAGGGGGAGGGGCTCCCCTCCATCACCGTCGCCATCAGCACCGATCTCGTTATCGCCGTGGACGCCGCGGCAAGGTGAGGATGGCGGTGGTTCCGCGGGGCGCCGCCTGAACGCCTTCTCCAGGGAGCCTAGCTTGACCGTGAAGATGTAGGCCAGCGCCTCCAGCCGCATGCAGTCAGAGGTGAGACGACATTGATATGGATTATGTGTCTCCCAAGGCCTAAGTATTCGATACCCCTCACGAGGGCGATCCCACTCGCGCGATGAAGAAGCAAGTGCCTGAAGTGTGAACCGCACCGCCGATGAAACAACTCAGTGGCAATATAAGCGGTCGCAGCTGGCACCAGGCAGCGCGACCAATAACGTGACACCAAGGCCCGAGGAGAAGGGACGTCGTTGATCTGGTACGATCTGCAAAATGTGAGTTGGAGCGCATCCTTACTCCAGTCAGAGGATTGCGCCACAGCAGAAGGGGGGAGGATGAGCATGAGGGAAGGGAATTTGCTGGAAAGAATGGAGGAGGACGATGGCGACGACGAGGAATAAGGGGGATGATGATGATGATGAGGAGGAGGAGGAGGAGGAAGAGGAGGAGGAGAAGAAGGAGGAAGAGGAGGATGAGGATGAGGAGTGAGGAGGATGGGGATAGGCTCTGATTGGCGTAAGTGCGGGCACCCCAGTCATGTTGCGCAGGCCAGTGCGGAATAGCGTGCGCTCACATATAACAAGCCCCAGTGCGGTCTCTGTGAACCGCAGATGCCACATGTCTGGCACAACTCGCCGATTCAGATGTACAGCTTCAGTCACGACATCGAGACCTGTAAGTTTGAGGTCGCCGATGTGCTCCACTGCTCTACCCCTTAATGATGTACGCATTCAGGTTGAGGAGCCGGGACATGGCGAGGAACAACAATGAGGGGGGATGAGGGAAGGGAAAAGGGGGGATGGCGAGAAGGACAAAGCATAAGCGCGTAGAGGAGGGGGAAGGAGCAGGTCCAGGATAAGAAAGAGAAGGAAGAGGAGCACGGATGAGGACAACGAGGAGGACAACTAGCACGGGGAGGGAGGTCGCGGGCGATGCCCGTTCTGCCACGCATCACCGAAACTCCGAGCCCGTCCTCACAAAGCGCCCGGGTTGCACCTGCCCGCGAGCTTGCCGTGCCGTCGCTGCGCCGCGGCCGAGACACGCCACAGGACTGTGTCGGATGGCACGTGCAAAACAAATTAGTGATCGCAGCAGCAGCAGCAGCAGCAGCAGCACTTGAAGAGGACATCGGCAGCAGTAGCAGCAGCAATACTCCTGCCGGGACCTACCGCCGTGCCAAATCTGCCGACGATGACGACGCCGAAGGGGCAACTTGGCACGATAGGGACAAGGTTCGGGCGCCCCGTGGATGCGCGCAGCACTCACAGCTCAGCGTGGCCGTGGGGTGGAGGGCCAACCATCCGCCAGATATCGTCCGAGATGGTATCGCGACGTGGGTGCGAGAGGAGATCGGTATCGCTGTGGTCTCGGAACGGATCCCAGGATGGCGGGCCGCGGACGGAGACGCCGAGCTGGAAGTCTGAAAATGGCCTACCCACCAGGGCACCCACGGCCGAGCATGCTTGGACGCCTCCTTGGTGGACTCGGTGCGCCAGGCGCTGCAAGGCGGGTCCGCCGACGCCGCGCGTGCGTCGAGGGAGCGCCGAACGCACCGACGGTACCCAGGCTGGGAGCTCGTCCCGTTCGCCGCCGATCTGTGCGGCGGGCAAGGTGCGCAAGCGGAGAGGTGGTTGCGAAGCACCCTGGGCCTGCTCCCACGGCAGAGCGCGATGCGGCAAAGCGCCGCCTCCGGGGCATGCACGATCGCTCTGCCCTCCTAGGGCAGCTGGACAGCCAGGCCAGCCTGTCGACAGATACACTCGCGCGTCACCGCTCTCTTCGAAACGGCGGGCGGCTTGCGGGTCGCCGTTCTGGATGGCGAGCGCGGCCTGAAAGGCCACGCCGTTGGAGTTGCGGACGCCGGGGCTGAAGCGTGAGGCGGTGAGCAGGCCAGGAGCACGCACCCCAGCAGACCGGCGCGCGGGCCCGCACCTGGCGCCGCCGCCCGTTCGTGAGATCTGCGGGCCCGGGGCGCGTGGCTCTCACAGGTCGGGCCGGCCCTGCCGCACTCCCCTTTCCTCGTTCTCCCTCCAGGCCTGCTGCCAAATGGCCCTGTGGCTTCGGACTCACCACTGCTGGCGGTGCTGCAGGTCATCCTCCTTCCCGTGATATCCGCTGGAGCCTCCAAGGCCGCCTCGACGAGGTCTGTGGAGGTTACTCCCCTCCCCTCCCATCCGTCTGGCTCATCAGGAGCGAAAGTGTACTGCACCAGCTGGGGCGAACCTCAGCAACGACAGTGGCACTTACAGCGCGCCGCTGCCACGCCCGAATTGCTCTGGCCGCGGCCAGACCAGCTCCAGAAGAGAAGAATCCAGCGCTGGATGCTGTTGTGTAGATTCCCCGCTTGCACCTAAGGGTTCTTGCTTACATGTCTAATTGGATGGGTGTCCCGAGAATTCGCCACGTTCCAGCTCTGTGCCGCCCCTTTGCTGCCTGTGGGGATGTCCCTGGCCTTCGCCACGTTCAGGGCCGTTGCCGCCCGCTGCCGCCTGTTACGATTTCAACCAGATTCGCCACGCTCCGGCCCGTTGCCACTCGCTGCCGCCAGCCAGGGTGTCTCGAAGATTCGACATGTTCTGGCCCGTTGCCGCCGGTTGCTGCTTCTGTTGTGTATGTGTGTTTCTGTATATATATATATATATATACATACATGTGTGCAATACTCATACAATCATATATCCATGTAGACATATACGACTATATGAATATATCCGTATATCCGCATCCCCACACGGGACTCGCGCGTAGGGGTAAGAATTGGAGTGGCCCGGCGAGGACGTTCGACTTAGACTCCCATGGCCACCCCGTAGCGGCCTCGTGCGATGGGTGTGTCCGGCGAAGATTCGCCACATTGCCGCCCGTAGCCGCATCTCTGCCGCTTGGTGGGTCCGCCAAGGCTTCGCCACGTTGCCGCCGCGTTGCCGCCCGTTGCCGCCACTTGCCGCCTCGTTGCCGCCGGGGGTCCGCCGAGGATTCTCCGCGGTGCCGCCCGTTGCCGCCTCGCTGCCGCGACACCACATAGCTTATATAACAGAACGTGCGTTCGGAAAATACCCTATAGTTTACAACACATCGATTGCACCACGTAGCTTGACGCAGCTTGCACCCCGTAGTCCCACCATCCCTTCAGGGCGCAAGGTGGTGTAGGGAGCTTCCTTCCTCTTCCACCTCTCCCTCTTCCCCTTCGGGGAAGGGTTTAGCACTGTTCCTTTTAAGTAAACACCCCCTCCCCCACCCGGCTGGCAGCCAAACCGGAACCATGTGCACACCATGAAGGCCCCCCCCCAACCATGTCAAAAAGCAATACAGAACGCACTAAGCCTCCAAATTCGGAGCATGCGCAACCAACCCGATGCGGGCCCCCTCCCCACACACACCATCCCTGTCAAAAAACAATGCACAGTACAGTTTGGGGCAAAGTCTGGAGTCATGTTCGTGAGGCCCGCGGGAACTTTGTATTGTTCTTCGGCAGGGACGGCGGGAATGTCAGCATATTGCCTGCTGCGCACAGAGCTACCATCCCTGACAAATGCACGTCGCGGCAAAATGTGGATAGTGCGCGGCCACCCCGCGATAATTGTCAAGTGGTTTTTGTCAGGGACGGCGGGGGTGGTGGTGTATGGCCTGCTGTGCGCAGGCCCACCAGACAAAATGATGGGTGTTCATTTTCGACGGGGATGGTGGGGGCCGACATGTTTCCCGATGTGTGCTGTCACGTGCGCAGGCGCACCTGACACACGCTGCACGTGCCCAGGACGTGGCGCACCTGGCGCGGCTGGAGGGGGCATCTGGCGCACTAGGCATGCATGGCACGCTCGGGCCCCAGGGGTGCCTGGCGCGCGTGGCGCGCCTGGAACGCGTGGCGCACCTTGCCCCAGCGTCGCGCACATGGGCTCGGTGTTGGTTCCCAGTAGCTCTCCATCACAAGACGACCGCGGAACATGCTGAGGCTCGACCGCCGCCATGGGCAGGGAGGCCTGCTCGCCAGCTGCTTGCTGGGCCAACTGACTCCTCTGCTTCGCAAGGTCCTTGATGTTCTGCTCTTGCTGCTGGATGGCGGTCTCAGCCCTTCCGATCTCCTGAGGAGGGCCGCCAGTCCCTCTCGCTCCTTCCCGAGGCTCCCTCTGAGCCGTGACCGTGCGCACTCTGGCATGGATCGGCTTGGACTCCAGCAACATGACGCGGAGGCGCTCGCGTTCCTCCTCGAGCTCCTGCTTGCACGCCTGCCATGCGGGCCCGCTGTGCTTGGACACGGCGACGAGCTCCTTGTCCGGACATCTCGATGTCCACGACCTCAGGCGCTGCAGCACCCGGGCGCACAGGCGGCGGGGCATGGGCAGCTTCCAGGCGCTTGACCTTCTTGCGAAGCATTTCAAGCTCCTTGGCCTCCTGGCTCCAAGATTAAGAATGGAAGTGCCGCTGCGCGGAGGCACACGCACGGACGGCGAGCTCGGGGCGACCTCGGCCTTGAAGCAGATGCCTTTGGCCTCCCCGCACATCCCGCAGCTGGCCACCGTCGCGCCGCCGTCGCGACGTCCCACCAGTCCTGGCCAGAGGTCTTGTGCCTGCAGAAGCGGCACAACCACTTGGCCGCGCGCTCGGCGCGCTCGCAACGACGGCGCGAGGGCGCCATGCCGTTGGCGGCCTCGCCGTGGTGGGCTGCGAGCAGGCGCCGCGCAGCGTCCAGGCGAAGGAGGCGCCGCGCCTCGCTCCGCCTCCGCCGCGCGCGCCTATGCCAGGCAGGGGAGCTGGCCCGCTCCCCTGTCGCGATCTCTTGGGAGACCTCTCGGACGACCCTTGAGCCAAAATGGCTACGGAGGAGGAGGAAGAGGAGGAGGGGGGGAGGGCAGAGGTAACGAAGAGGGAGGCGGAGCGAGGGGTGTCCCAGCCGCGGGCCAGGCGGACGGATGGTGCGCTGCGCTGCGCTGCTGCCCCTGGCTACCTCGCCTCCCCATCGACACGCAGAAGTGCGGCTTCCCGCCCTGCCTTGACGCCCTGGAAGTCCATACGTTTGATGTCCTCGGCGCTGGTGCAACGAAAGGGGGGAAGGTAATTCACGACCTGGGGGGCCTCAGTGTCCTCCCTATCCTTGGCCCCCTCCGCTTCTTTCCCGCCATCCTCCCTCTTATCCTCCTCCCCTTCTCCTCTCTATCCTCCTGCTCCGCCTCCTCCTCCTCCCCCCTGTCTCTCCGACTCCTTCCGTCTTCCCCCTGAGGAACCCTGCAAGAGGTGGGTGCCCCCCCCCCCCGTACCTCCTCGTCCGTCTCCTCCTCCTCCTCCTCCTCCTCCTTCTTCTTCTCCTCCTCCTTCTCCTCCTCCTCCTCCTCGTCCTCGTCCTCCTCCTCCTCCTCCTCCTCCTCCTCCTCCTCCTCCTCCTCCTCCTCTTCCTATTAATCCTCCCCCACCCCTCCCCATCAAGCTCCAATTATTTAACCACAGAACGCGCATTATGTGGATGGGTGGGTGGGGCCTCTGGCACATAACATAAGGCAATCGCACCCGGCCGCTCGACTGTTTGTTCTGAGAGCACTGCCCCTGTTGCTCCTGCTGATGCTGATGCACCAGCAAGCCCCAGCAGCTGCGATCGCCACAAGGCGCGTTGACACCGCAATGCCCGCTCTCACCACACAGGCTGATGCAGCAACCCACGCATGCACCACACCGCCTGCGTACATCATAATGCATGGGCGCATGGCAATGGTCCTGTGCACCACCAAGCTGTGAACACCACATAACCGTCCACAAAGCCTTTGGCAAACACAGCTGCGGCCACACAAGCACGTTCCGCGTACAACAAAGCGCCTGTGTACAACACGATCCGCGTGCACACCGCAGCAGCCACGCGCAGCGCGGCGACTAGCGCCTGTGTGCACCACGTTGTACGTGTACAAAACAGAGCCCACGTACACTTCGAGGATCCCGACGAGGTCCATGTACCGAAATTTGTGCTCGTGTGGGAGGGGGGGCGAATGTATCAAATTGGATATGCAAGCTCTTGGTGATTTTTGTATGCTGGCCGCCGGGAAAATATCTTGAGCAATTTTCTCGAGTTGCGCGCGGCCGCGGCGACGAAGAGATCCCTTGGGAGGGAGGACCCTTGGCGCCTCCAGTTCGCTTATGCCGAGGTTGCGCCCCAAGGGGTTCGCCCACGAGACTCCCAAGAGGACTCCGACGAGGCTCAAGACGGCCCCAGGACGACCGAAGAAACGCCCAATTCTGCCCAAGGGGCTCTCAAGAGGGGGAACAGCAACCGACAGTTCGAGCCTTCCGCCCCAAGACGCCCCCAGGAGACCCCAAGAGGCGCAAGAAGCCCCTTAAGAGGTCCAGTTAAACCCAGGAGCGCGCCCAAGAGGGCCCCAAGAGGCTCAAGCCCCTCCCTTCCACGCATTGCCCCCCGCATCTGTCTGTCGTCGCTAAGTACGCCGCCTGCCTGCGGGTGCCATAACAGCCTGCACGCGCCACGCGCCTCTACATACCACAAGCACAAGCCCGCACACACTGCAAACACGTTGCGCGCGCACTGCGAACACCACACCTGTGCACTAAGCAACAGGCGCTGCTGCAACGCGGGTGCGTGAGGCGGCGGGCGTCACATTATCTACTACTGGGTGGGTGGACGGTTGGAGGCGTTGTAGGTTCGAATAAGACAACTGCAGCTCATCATCATCCCCTGCCCCTCATCCCTCGAATCCGCCCTCCTCCCTCGACGTCGTCGACCTACGGAGTTGGCAGCGGCGGCGAGAGAAGGCAGGCGGCCAGGCATCCACAAGGCGCTGCTCGATGACAAGCTACTCGGTGCCGCCGAATCGGCCCACCCCGAATCGATCCTTTGTGGTCGTCGGCCCGAGACGGCCAGACAACCACACCGAAACCAGAAAAACCGGCCCGAATCGAACAGCACCATTCATGGACGACGACGTCCCCCCAAGCCCCCTGGAACCCCCTTACCACCCACCACCACCCACCGCCACCCAGCTATCGCTCTACTATCACAACCCACCTCCCCAGAACCCAGCTGGGTTGTGTGACCCTGGGTTGTTCATGGCCGCGGCTCCCACATGTATTCCACCGTGTCTTGCGCACGTTGAGGCGTGGAAGAATGCCAAGGGCTGTCGGGTAGGGTTTCAGTGCCTTGATAAGGAGCATTCCCCCTACTTTAGCAGCAGATCCCTGCATGCATCGCCCCCATCCCGAGGCACGATGCTTCAGGCCACAATCCTTTGGAAAAAGCTGTGGATATGCGTCCCGATTTTCCAAGACGGTCTATGCAGACCGAAGATGCCTCAAAGACGGCCCATTCAGGCCGAAGATGCCTCGAAGACGGTCGAGAAGGACACTAGGATGGCCCAAAGTGTCCCGAAGACGGTCCACGATAGCCCCGAGGCGGCCCAGCATGGCGTCGAGACGGCCCGAGATGCCTCAAAGAGGGCCCAAAAGGGCTAGAAGAGGACCTCTAACAGGGTCTGAAGAAGCCAGCAACGAGAGTTCGTCCTAATGGTGAAATCAGACACCACGCAAAAACACCACGCAAATACACCACGCAAAAACACTACGTAAAAACACCACGCGAACGCTGAAGGGTGAATTAGACATCACGCAAATACACCACGCAAAAACACCACGCAAAAACACCACGTAGCGGTTTTGCGTGATGTTTTTGCGTGGTGTGTTTGCGTGGTGTTTTTGTGCGCCGCTGGGGCGGCGCGGGGACGCAGTGGGGCAGGTCGCGGTTCACGTGGTGTGTTTTTGCGTGGTGTTTTTGCGCGGTGTATTTGCGTAGTGTATTTGTGCGCCGCTGGGGCGGCGCGGGGACGCAGTGGGGCAGGTCGCGGTTCACGCGGCGTGTTTTTTTGTTCTGCGTGGTGTTTTTGCGTGGTGTATTTGCGTGGTGTTTTTGTGCGCCGCTGGGGCGGCGCGGGGACGCAGTGGGGAAGGTCGCGGTTCACGTGGTGCTTTTGCGTGGTGTTTTTGCGTGGTGTTTTTTTGCACCGCTGTGGCGGCGCCGGAGCGCCGTGGGACAGGTCGCGGTTCACGTGGTGTGTTTTTGCGTGGTGTTTTTGCGTGGTGTATTTGCGTAGTGTATTTGTGCGCCGCTGGGGCGGCGCGGGGACGCAGTGGGGCAGGTCGCGGTTCACGCGGCGTGTTTTTCTGCGTGGTGTTTTTGCGTGGTGTTTTTGCGTGGTGTATTTGCGTGGTGTTTTTGTGCACCGCTGTGGCGGCGCGGTGTTATCGTCCTCCTCCTCCTCCTCCTCCTCCTCACCTTTCCCCCGTCATCCCGCGCATATTCCCCCTCCTCCCAACCCTCCTCATTATCCTCTTCGCCCTGCTGATCCGCGTGGTCTCTTCCACAAGCCCTGAGGCCTCTTCCCAAGGCCAAGAGGCCCCGTGCAGAAACGAGGAAGCCAGCACTAGAGGCCCCAAGCCCTCTTTTCGCTTCCCGAAGGCCTCGCCCAGAAGCCAAAGTGCTTCCCCTGAGGGCAAGAGGGCTCCCCCAAAAGCCCAAAAGCACCCGAAGCCCTGAAGCTAGTTCAACCACTGAAGCCGCGTGGGCGGGCGAGAGGAGTGATGCCGTGTGGTGTGTGGTGTGGTGTGATGTGGTGTCGTGGTGCGGTGGTGTGGTGGTGTCGTGGTGTGGTGTGGTGTCGTGTCGTGGTGTGTGTGTGTGTGTGTCTGGTGTGGTGTGTGTGGTGTGGCGTTTGTGTGTGGTGGTGTTGTGGTGGTGTCGTGGTGTGGTGTGGCGGTGTCGTGGTGTAGTGTCGTGTGGTGTCGTGGTGTCGTGGTGTGGTGTCTGTGTGTGTGTGTGTTACGTTGTGTTTTACGTTGTGTTTTACGTGGTGTTTTTTTGTTGTGCGCCGCTGGAGCGGCGCGGGGGCGCAGCTGGAGCGCCGCTGCAGCGCCCCAGGAGCGCCGTGGGGCAGGTCGCGGTTTACGTGGTTTTTGTTTTGGCGCGTAGTGTTTTTGTGCGCCGCTGGAGCGGCGCGGGGGCGCCGTGTGCGTGCGCCGCTGGCGCGGCGCGGGAGCGCCGTGGGGCGGGTCGCGGTTTACGTGGTGTTTTTGCGTGGTGTTTGCGTGCGTCGCTGGAGCGGCGTAGGGGCGCCGTGGGGCAGGTCGCGGTTTACGTGGTGTTTTTGCGCTGTGTTTGCGTGCGCCGCTAGGTCTCGGTTTACGTTGTGTGTGTTTTGCGTGGTGTTTGCGTGCGCAGCTGGAGCGGCGCGGGGGCGCAGTGGGGCAGGTCTCGGTTTACGTTGTGTTTTTGTGTTGTGTTTGCGTGCGCCGCTGGAGCGGCGCGGGAGCGCCGTGGGGCAGGTCGCGGTTTACGTGGTGTCTTTGCGTGGTGTTTGCGTGCGCCGCTGGAGCGGCGCCGGAGCGCCGTCGGGCAGGTCGCGGTTTGCGTGGTGTTTTTTTTTGTTTCCGCGTGGTGTTTTTGCGTGGTGTTTGCGTGCGCCACTGGAGCGGCGCAGGGGCGCCGTGGGGCAGGCCGCGGTTTACGTTGTGTTTTTTTTGCGTTGTGTTCGCGTGCGCCGCTGGAGCGGCGCGGGGGCGCAGTGGGGCAGGTCGCGGTTTACGTGGTGTTTTTGCGTGGTGTTTTTGCGTGGTGTTTGCGTGCGCCGCTGGAGCGGCGCAGGGGCGCAGTGGGGCGGGTCGCGGTTTACGTGGTGTTTTTGCGTGGTGTTTTTGCGTGGTGTTTGCGTGCGCCGCTGGAGCGGCGCAGGAGCGCAGCTGGAGCGCCGCTACAGCCCGCTGCAGCGCCGCTGCAGCACCCCAGGAGCGCAGTGGGGCAGGTCGCGGTTTACGTGGTGTTTTTGCGTCCGCTCCAGCGGCGCATGCAAACACCACGCAAAAACACCACGTAAACCGCGACCCACCCCACGGCGCTCCGGCGCCGCTCCAGCGGCGCACGCAAACACCACGCAAAAACACCACGCAAACACCACGCAAAAACACCACGCAAACACCACGCAAAAACACCACGCAAACACCACGCAAAAACACCACGCAAAAACACCACGTTTAAGGTATTTTATTTAATCATTAAGGTATTTTATTTCACCATTAAGGTATTCTATTTCACCATTAAGAAATTCTATTTCACCATTAAGAAATTCTATTTCACCATTAAGAGTTCTATTTCACCATTAAAACGCTTATTTCACCATTAGGAGAAACCGTTCCAACAACAATTAATTTCCCTTGGGTGTTTGAATGAATTTCGCATTCTCGCTTTTCTGGACTTCCGTCAGATCAAGACGGCCCGAGAGGCCTTCACGATGATGGCCCTAGAGGTCCCACGATGGCCCATGAAGCCATTCTTGATGGTCCCAGGGCCCGATAACGGCCCAACAGGGCATCCTCTGGGACGCAAGAACACGGCCCCTGGACGGCCCCCAGAAACCCACCGTACGGCCAAGAGGGCCCCAAGACGGCCCAAGAGAGCCCCAAGATGCCAAAGAGGGCCCCAGGACGGAACAAGACGGCTCCAAGGGATCCCCAAGACTGCCTCACAGGAGGCCACGACGAACCCGAATCGGCTCGAACTTGTTCCACGCGAGTTCTACAACTAGTGAGGCCGAAAAGGTGCCACGTGTTACGGCCTTCCGCTTCCCTCTCCTGCTCCTCCTCCTGCTCCTCCTCCTCCTCCTCCTCCTCCTCCTCTTCCTCCTCCTCATCGTCATAAGCATCATCACAAACATATTCATCGTCATCATCATAATCATCATCCTCATCATCCTCAACCTCAGCATCATCACCGTCAACATCACCATCATCATCACCATCGACATTGTAAACATCCTCACTATCGCCAACAGCAACAGAAATATCCGTATCCGTATCATCATAATATCCATCACCACCGGCCCAATCGGCATCAGCAACATCATCGACATCAGCATCCTCATTATCATCAGCAGCATGATCATCAGCTATATCACCACTAACACCATCGACACCATCACCATCATGAGCAACCGTAGCACCATCTTAAGCGCCCTCGTCTCCATCATCACAATGATCATCAGCAGCAGCATCATCACCACCATGATCACCATCACTATCACCATCACCATCACCACCACTATCATCATCCTCCTCATCGTCATCATCATCACCATCATCACCATGACCAGCACCACCATCACCCTCATATCCAACATTATATCCATAACCACCATCAGTCACAACATCATCATCATTATCAACATCAGCATCATCAGCATCAGCATCAACGTTAGCATCATCAGCAGCATCATCAGCATCAGCATCATAACCATCAGCATCAGCAGCAGCATCAGTTTCAGTATCATCACCATCAACGTCATCAACATGAACAGCATCACCATCACCATCATCAGCATCATCATCGTCATCATCACAATCATCATCAACACCATCATCATTCCGAACCCTGGAGACACGAGGTGCCACACGTGACGGCCTCCCGTGCCCCGTCGAATCGTCGGCACCCAGAAAGCTGGGCTGGCAAGGTGACGAGACTTGCCGCAGGCAGCTGGCTAATGATTGTTCGCGTCGTCGCTGCGCCCTCTTGGCGCTCGCTCTTGCCGTCCGTTGCAACAGCGACGGCGCTGCGACGGCGCCGCGACGGCGCCGTGGCGCCTAGGAGCAGTTGCAGCAGCGGCAGCACCTCGGCGCCTGCGCACGCACTGCCGACGCCACGAGCCGGAACGCTCCCGCGGCTGGTCCAGGGGAGGCAGGGCCGACGGGTCCTCCTGCAGCTGCAGCTCCTCGGCGATGTCCCTGTCCCTGGGGACCTCGGCCAGTCGGCCGGCGACGACGCGCCCCGACCGCAGGGGCCCCCGCTCTGGACAGAGCCTGCGGGCGCGGCCCCAGCTGCCCTCAGTCGCGGCCCGCGCAACCCAGGCCTCTGGAGAACGTGAGGGTGTCTTCCCTTCGACTCGGGCAGACTCCCTTGCATGGCATCACGGCGCTGGGCCGAACAGGCGTGCAAGTGTGTCCCGACTTGCGTGAAGTCCAGAGTTCATGTCGGGCCCCGCCGCGCCCCACCCCCGCCCCTCCATGCAAGTAGACTTGCCAGCGCTTGAAAAAAAAACACTGCCTTCTTGTTAGGCATGTTACTGCCTCCTGGTTCGGCATGTTCGGCTTCAGGCCCAGGGCCGTCAACACAAGCTCGGGATTAACAGCGATGCCCCTGGACGAAGACGAGGACGAGAGGAATATGAAGCCGTCGGAGGTCGCCCCCGCCAAGGCCCAGACATCTGGCGCCACGAGAAAATCGTGACGGACGATCGATTTCTCGCAAGATTGGGCATATGGGAATGCCGGTTTGGCCTTGTAGGGCGATCAACACAAACAACCCGGGATGAAGAAATAGCAGTCGCCCACGCGCTATCCCCCACCTCTGATGTGGGGGCGAAAAGGGCTCAACGGACTCCGATGCTGTCAGGCAGCCTCCTAGCCTCTGGAAACGGAGGGGTGTCAGGAGGGGGGGTGCTGTTTACTTGATCAGCCGGTTGGGTTCTTCGGAAGCTTTCGGGGGGCTGAGAAGTAGCTCCTGGCCCGCGCGAAAGCCAGGAGGACAGGCGGCACCGATCCACAGACGCCCGCCTGCGACTGCACTGGAGGATAGGAAGGCACCAACTATACACCAACACCGATCCTGGCCAGGATCACCCTGGGCCCAGGATCGGTGTATACGCCCTCCTGCCCTGCGCAAGAAGGCATATACACCGATCCTGGGCCCAGGGTGATCCTGGGCCAGGATCGGTGTTGGTGTATAGTTGGTGCCCTCCGAGAGGAGGGCACCGGACAACGACCTGGGGTCGGCGGTACGCCGCCGATGGGTTGGCGGTAGGCCCCGGGTGGCGAAGCCGCAAGCTCCTGAGCGGGGCGTGGCATCCAAGTCCCGATCGGCGATGTCATGGGCAGGGCGCTGTCGATGCTCCCCCTCCTATTGTCCATGCCCCTTGCGCCCCGCCCCCCCCTTCCATCCTCCCCCAGCTCTCTCCCTCTCCTACCCTCCTGAAGCAGCGAAGACCAGGAGCAGACCCTCATTCTCCTCCTCCTCCTCCTCCTCCTGCTCCTCCTCCTCCTCCTCCTCCTACTACTCCTGCTCCTCCTCCTCCTCCTCCTCCTCCTGCTCCTGCTCCTCCTCCTCCTCCTCCTGCTCCTCCTCCTCCTCCTCCTCCTCCTCCTCGTTCGTAGCCTCCTCCTCCTCCTCATCCTCCTCCTTCGTAGCCTCCTCCTCCCCCTACGGCTATTGGGCCCCGCCCTTCCTCCTGCAGTAATCCAGGTGGCCTCTAGAGGTCCTCAGGGGTCCGCCTTCATCCACCAGCCCCCACCAACCAGCTCCCCCACCAAAAAAAATGCGGGCGAAGAAACCAGCCATACGCAGTGGAGGGAACACCAATGTAGGTACCGCTTTCGGTGGAGCTCCCTATGATCCCGCGAAGCGTGTGAGGAGTGTGCCGAAACAGGGGCGGTGGTACCATGCGGGCGCTGCCATTGGGGCCTTCAGTGGAGCTCCCCATGAAGCCACGAAACGTGTGCGGTGGTGCCATGCGGGCGCTATCACTGAGGCCTTCAGTGGAGCTTCCTATGGAGCCGTGCCGAATCGGGCGCAGTGCTGCCGTGCGGGCACTGCCACTGGGGCCTTCGGTGGACCTCCCTGTGGGGCCACGAAACGTGTGAGGGGTGTGCCGAAACGGGTGCGGGTGCACCATGCGAACGCAGCCGCTGGGGCCTTCGGCGGAGCTCCCTTTGGGCGGCATGCGAGCGCAGCCACTCAGGCCCTCGGAGCTCCCCGTGGGCCCAGAAACGTGCAAGGGGTGTGTGCCGAAGCAGGTGCGGGTACGCCACGCGAACGCAGCGACTGGGGCCTTCGGTGGAGCTCAGGAACTCCCCATGGGGCCACGAAACGTGTGAGGGGTGTGCCCAATCGGGTGCGGGTGCGCCATGCGAACGCAGCCGCTGGGGCGTTCGGTGGAACTCCCTATGTGGCCTCGGAGCGCGTGAAGGGTGTGCCGGGTCGGGTCTGGACACGCAATGCATCCGCAACCACTGGGGCTTCCGGTGGAGCTCCCTATGGGGCCACGAAACGTGTGAGGGGTGTGCCTGGTCGGGCGCGGGTACGCCATGCGAACGCAGCGACTGGGGCCTCTGGTGGAGCTCCCTATGCGGCCACGAACGTGCGATGGGCGTGCCGAGTCGTGTGCGGGTGCGCCAGGCGAATGCAGCGTGAGCCGAAACAGAAACATGCCGAGGGTAGAAGCAGGAATGGCAGGGATACGAGGAAGAGGAAGCGGAATAGGAAGAGAAAGGAAGAGGACGCGGGGCGCTGTGCCTTCAAAACGACAATCCAACACCATAGGATGGTTGGGAAATGACATATCCGCCACCGTGCCTACACGGAGTGGGCGTGTTATGCTCCTGCGGTCCCTCTGGGATTTTGTATCATGTTTCCTAGGGCCGACCCCCCCCCCTGGCTCGCACTCGCTCGCTTTGACCGCCCCCTTCTTTTCGGCCTCCAGACGGTCAAGATGGCTCAGAAAGGGCTTCCAAGAAGCCAGAAAGATACGAAAGCGGACCAAGATGGCCCAAGACGGCTCAAGAGGATCTCAAGGCGACCTCCAGACGGCTCAAGGGCCACCAAAACGGCCCAAAAAGGGCTCCAAGAGGCCCGCCAGGACAACCCGAAGAGACGGAAAACAGCGACGGTCCTTGGCTTCTTACTGGATTTTGAGGTTCTCGATTGTTGGGGCTTCCGATCGCCCGACACGGCCCAAGAGGCCTCCAAGATAGCTTCACGACAGCCGAGGAAGCCCCGAAGAGGGCCCCAAGTCGGCCCAAGAAGACCCCAGGATCACCCAATAGGCCCCCAAGAGGGCCCCAAGGCGGCCCTAAAGCGCTCGAAGGGTGCGCCAGACGAGGGCGCCAGACGGGACAAGAGCCCTATAAGACTGCCCAAGAGGCCCCAAAGAGGCCCCAGGCAGCCCCCAAGACGCCCTTAGAAGGCAAAACAGCATAACGACGTTCACGAGATGTTTGAAGGATCTTGAGGTTCTCGCCTGCTTGGGTTTCCGACCAGGGGCCCCAAAGAGGGCCCCAAGTCGGCGCCCAAGAGGACCTTAGGATCGCCCAATAGGCTCCGAAGAGGGCCCCAAGGCGGCCCCAAAACGCGCCAGGAAGGCACCAAGACGGCCTAAACAAGCCCGCGCGACGGCATCCGAAAGCGCCAGACGAGCCAAGAGCTTTCTAGGACGGCCCAAGAGGCCCTAAGAAGCCCCCGAGAGGCCCCAGGAGGCCCCCAAGAGGCTCACAGGCTCAAAGGAGACTCACATAAGCACCCAGGAGGCCCCAAGAATGGGGCCCATGAGCCCTTTTTCCCTTCTCGTCCTCATATGATTAATCGCCAATTTATCATCCTCCTCCTCCTCTTCCTTCTTCTCCTCCTCCTCCTCATCCTCCTCCTCCTCCTCCTCCTCCTCCTCCTCCTCCTCCTCCTCCCCCTCCCCCTCCCCCTCCTCTTGCTCCTCAATACCGCACGGACGAAGGCGAGATCGAGATCGCGCCCCTTCCCAATGCCGACACCTCGCTGAAATGCCGCGAGGGGTGAACTCGACCTCTTTCCTATCGCGCCGACGAAGACAAGGTCGACTTCACGACCCGTCCTAGTTCAGACCAGTCGTCGGAATTGCGCTGTTCCTACTCTCGGTCTCCTTCCTGCTGCGCTGTCGCACAAGCACAGTGGCGGGGTTTTCGCAGGCAGCTGGATCAGAAACGCCAGAAATCTAAATCCTCGATCCTCGAAGTCTCATCCTGATGAGCCGCTGCAAGCACCCTGTCCTCGTCCTCGTCCTCGTCTTCGTCCTCGTCCACCTCGTCCTCCTACTCCTCCTCGTCCTCCTCCTCCTCCTGATGAGCAACGAGATTACGACGACACTACACGAGTCCAGATCGCGTTGGCCGACGAAGTACTGCTGAAGGACGGATCGGGCTACACGGTCGACTTTTGCAAATTGCTGCTTGAGCAAGCAACGGTCAAGCTGATGTGCGCGATGGGAGGCCGTGTCAAACTTGGAACCGCACCTCAGGGGCACTTCGAGTCTCTCGCCGAGGACCTTCTGGGTACACACAAGCTCGGCGGGAAGAAGGCAAGGGCAAGGGAGCGTAGCAGAACAAGTCAACAGGGGCTCGGACGATGGGTGGTTCTCTAGACTGGAGGCTCCTGGAGCAAGGATCGCTCGTCGTGAAATTTCCTCTTCGTCAAGTCCTGGCCCTGCGCCAGGCTCAGCGTCGCCGCCTCGAGGGGGTTGAAGCTCAGCTGGTCCCTGGGCGCTTCTGTCCGGCGCAAGGAGAGCCGAGACGCTCGATGCCGACCTGCTCCGCGTGGCCACACCGCATCCGCGGACGGCCTGCCCTGGCGCGCAGAGTGCCGCCCCTCGCTCTGCATCCGCCCTGGCTGCCGGGGCGGCGGCGGCGGCGGCCGCGACCCGCTGCGCAGGGCTCCCCACCGAGCGCGCGTATTGAAGGCTCCGAGCTTCGTCGCTCCTGCTCCCTCTCTTCTTCGAGAGGAGGCGCGCTCGCTCGCCCGCGGAGGCTCCGCTCCTCCTCACCTCTATCCCAGCCGAGGAGGAGGAGGAGGGAAGAGGACGGGGAGGAGGAGGAGGAGGAGGAGGAGGAGGAGGAGGAGGAGGAGGAGGAGGAGGAGAAGCAGGAGGGGGGGAGGAGAAGAAAGAGGAGGAGGAGAAGAAGAAAGAGGAGGAGGAGAAGAAGGAGTAGGAGGAGGAGGAGAGAGGAGAAGGAGGAGGAGGAGGTGGAGGAGGAGGAGGAGGAGGAGAATGGAGGAGGAGGAGGAGGACGAGGAGGAGGAGGAGGAGGAGGAGGAGGCATGTGGCACCGGCGCCCGCCCCCACTTGCTTGTGGCTCTGCTGTGCTGTCCCCTGGCCCGTCCCTTCCCAGTCGCTGCTCCGTGCCCGTCCCCGTCCCGACCCCCGCCCCCGCCGTCTGCATGCTGGGGGGGTGCTGGCAGGCGAATCAGGACTGGGCGGGGGCTTCGAAGGCCAGCCTGGCACGGTCACTGCTGGCCGGCCGAAGCCTCATGAGGCCAGCGAGGTGTCCCCCCCCGCCCTCGAGCGCCTCCCAGCAGCTTGCAACCGGATATAGACTCGGGCGCATCATGGCTGCAAGGCGCGCGTTGCCCATAACCTCGTGTAGTATATATGTGTTGGGGGTGGGAACAAGGCACAGGTGCATGCTCGAGTGTACTATTTTATGTCGCACCCAAAACGCGTGATGCCGAGTCCTATCCTATCCCATCCAATCCAATCATCCTCTTCTTCATCTTCCGACCCAAATGCGCTCAAAATCTGTCCCAGGACACCTTAAAAGGACTATCCGCGTCCAGCCGCGGCGACGAAGAACCAGCGACAACGAAACGAAAAAATATCACAACGACGACGACGACGTCGTCATTTCCGCGCGGCCGCCTCTCCTCCTCCTCCTCCTCCTCCTCCTCCTCCTCCTCCTCCTCCTCCTCCTACTCCTCCTCCTCCTCTTCCTCTCTTCCTCCTCCTCCTCTTCCTCCTCCTCCTCTCATCATCATCATCATCATCATCATCATCATCATCATCATCATCATCATCATCATCATCATCATCATCATCCTCATCATCATCAACATCATCATCATCATTCCACTGTTGCCGCTGCTCGTCCACCTCCACTGCGTCCTAGGCCTGAGCCGGCGACCAGCTGCCTGGACAGGTGCCTCGGCGGCGAGGACCGCGTCCTCCTCCCTCAATCTCCCTCTCTCCCCCGCTCTCTCTCCCTCTCTCCCTCGCTCTCTTTCTAAATGTCTCTGTTATTGTGTATGTCTCTCTGTGCCTTTTTCTATGTATCTCTCTCTCTCTCTCTTTCTCTCTTTCCATCTCCCTCTCTCTTTCTCGATATCTCTATATATATATGAAAGCTATATTTCTCTCTCTCTCTCTCTCACACTCTCTCTCTGGAGACTCTCTCTGTCTCTCTCTCTATCTCTCTTTTTCTCTTTCTCTCCCTCTTTGCATACATAAGTTTGTACACCCGAAAGGTTGTGTTTTGTTCAGCGCTCCCCCCGCGAGTGATGTGTTCCTGGCGTTGGGCCCATGCTTTGCGTAACACACCTCCTGCAATGAATGGGGATGCGCCTCTCGAAGAGTTCCTCGGGCGCAACAGCTTGCCCGACACCAGTTTGAGTGCTATGACAAAAAACATCGCGCACGGACGCAGTACACAGCATGGCCTGCACAGACGCTGACGGAGCGAGCGACGTGAGCAAAGGGATGGTTCCATCAGAGTCGGGCGAAGCCAAGTCCCAAGGGCATCTTGTGTTCTCGGGCAAACACTGTAATGCAACAGATCGCCGAGGTCGATGCTATCACCCTCGGGGTCGAGCATCTGCAAACGCATCTACGCCAGGGAGCATGACATCGCGCCGTCGTACACACACGTACGCACGTGGCCTCCAGGAGGGGCCAGCTCAATATACGTGGAAGTCTGCTGAACAACGACCTTAATGTTGTTCATGATCTGGGCAACTTCGGTCGGGCTGGGCGGCGACAGCCATGAAAAAATCTTCTGCAAAAGTCAAAACTCGGGAAGTCAATCGAAATCTACAGGATCGCGAGCCTTGGCTGCGTTGGAGAAGCGTACACGCAAAAAAAAATGGAAACTCGTCCAGGAAACACATCGACACCATCACACTCATCCTACGAGCTACACACTTGGCATATAACAAAATCCCTCCGCCATCCCCGCATCGTGCGCGCAATACATATATGACCCGAACACCCGTACAGATTCCAGACGGAGACCATGTTCTCCAATCGAGTTCCAGCTTGAGCAAGCGGCAGGTATGTAGTAGCGCATGCAGCTGCACAGCACGGGCGTCGTGTACCAATTGTGGGAACTCCATCGCTATCTCCAGCGCCTTGAGGCCACGCAGCATGGGGCCTGAAAGCGAAAACCGCGGCGTACCAGCGAAGAGTTTGAGGCTGGAGTCGTATACCATGAGCACTGCGGGAGTCGGAGCATATTCCTGCAGGATGTAGAACGGCACGGACAGACAGGTGGATAAGAACATTGCGATCGTAGCGGCCATCCCAAACCCGAGGTCGCGCAGCACCCGGACAAGGGCCTTGAAACTTGTTGGGTGCCTCCTGCCGCGTATACTGGTGGCCCTCAGGGCCAATCTCGACCCCTGAATATTCAGCGCCTCGTAGCACCTGCAGCACTGCAGCACCGTCGGGCAGGCAGCCGAGGAAAACTCCAGCGCAGGAAAGCGCGAAAGAGCCCGCCACAATCATCTGGCACTTTCCGGACCTGAGCGTCAGCCTGACACGGGCCCCCAGGATTTCACTTCAGGGGAGGGACCGAGTCCGTGAGCAAGTTACTCATGCCGGACAGAAGATCATCAACATGCAGCAAACCCTGGGCGTGTTTCGATGCGTCGGCTCCCCTTCCACAGAATCCAGAACGTGATCGGGCCCAACGCCAACGACGAGAAGCACGTGCTGGCTGGATCGCACGGCCGCCCCCCCACCCCCGTGATCGTGGCAAGTTGCCGCCTTGCATGCACGGTCGTGGCCGCGTCTCCGCGCGCAAAGCAGCGAAAAATGATAGGCGTCGGGGTCCACATTGTACTGAGGATTCTCAGAACCCAGGAAATCATCAGCGATGGGAACAAGCAGAATCACTGCGTTCGGCACTTCATGCAACTATTGGGGAAGCCCCCGCTCCTCCGCCTCCACAGTATTGGCGGCGATGCTCCTTTCACTCGCTCCTCCCCTCAGATGTTCATGAAGTGTTCCTGGTGCCACCTTCATCAGCGCTGCCCCCGCACCCATCGAAATAGCCTCGCGCGAGGTGTTCGCCGACGCCAGCGGCATCGCCTTGCCAGTGTCGCAAAGAGAAAGTTGCCCACGTCCGCGGGGTGAGACCCTGAGGGTGAACAGGTCAGCAGAGCATGTCGCATCCCACATGGGGGAAGTCGTAACAGTCAAACAACATGCGACCTAAACAACATGTGATCTGCAGGGCCGATCTGCCAGCAGGAGCCGGTCAGCCCATGTGGGTCTGGCGCAGCATACCCGCAAAACTAAATCGGTCCAACTTCCACTCACTCATGTCGCGGAATCGCGGAACGAACGCACAGATTAGCAGCGTTGCAGCAGCTCCTCCGACACCCCCATGTCCACCCCCACCGGATTGAGAACAACACCCCAATACCTGCCCCCCTCCCACCCCCAACACCTCCGCGGACCTGCGCGGGACACCCTCATCATAAAGCATACCTTGTAGGGGAGTCCGTACTCCCATCTTCCTCCATATCGACATTTTGAATGTCATACTCTGGATAGCTCCCCCTGGGCCGCGGCCTCACTGGGTGGTAGCCTAATCGCGGGCGAACTGTGCCTCCAATATTGAAAAATAGTACTACCTGGCATACACACAAATCTCGGCAAAATCATTGCACTAATCTCCCTCGGCATCGAAGAGCTGTTGGAGGATGGGGCGAGTGCGCAAAGTTTTCGGCACGAAGAAAAATTTGCCAGCCCTCCAGCCACGCACCACGCACATCGTTCAGTAACGCAGTTCCTCGTGCGTCGTGACAGGCTTGTTCGCCATGTTCTGCTCGGCAACCTTCACCTGCTCATGCATGAGATCTCTGACCGAGACGCCGAATGGGAGCCAATCCTGAGGGATACTTGCAACGGCCTGCTGGACGAGCGAACGACGCACTGGACCCTCAATGAGCCAGTCGGGAAATCCATGGGCCTCGAGGGGATCGAAGTTCTGGAACGTGTCCGCCACTCGGAGAAGGTCAGAGGACTCGAAACGTTTAGGCCTTGTCCAGACATCACACACGGTAGGTCCGTAGAATTTTTGTCCAACCTGGACGCCCGCGCACTCTCATCTTTCCCCCAACCGTACATGGCCGGACCTATCTGATATAAACCCACGTGCCACATGCAATACCCAAGTAAATTGTGCGACAACGATCCCCTACCGCCGACGTCATTCCATCCTCCGAATGCCTCCCCTCCTCCTTAATCGCATAGCTCCTGCCGCGCAAGATCAGATTAAGACACCGCGTCGAGGCCGACAGAGAATAGCCAACTTGGGACAGGAAAACACCTGGCAGTAGAGCACACGACCACGGCATCCGTTCGGCATGTGTACATTCACGATGCATAGAGACCCCGCCGGTCGTTTTTCAGGATGTACACATCTCTTCCAAGCCACTGTGATCCCACTTGAAGCCTGCCGTGCATCAGCGTGTCATGCTTCTGGCGGACAGTCCACATGGCGAGTAACAGCCACCGATTGTTGATGTCAAGATCGCTACGCACCTTGAGCAGAAAGACCTCAGAACTGCCCCTGGGGCCCAGAAATCCGTGATTGTCGAACGCCTTGATTACCAGACCATTTTGAGAGGCAATTGAAATACATGCGTGACGAACCTTATCTGCTTCCTTCCGCAATGTTGTGCCCATCATGGAGCGTGAAAGCCCAAGCACACTAAGACGCGCGTAACCTTGTTAAGACATGTTACTTGCAGAACCTCTCGAACTATATGATGACGTCCCCGAACAAGTAGAGTTGCGACTGAGCAGCCTTCTCCGACTAGCAAGGAGGACCACAATCGCTTCCATCAAACCCACTACTCACAACCTCACTCGACGGCGTACGACTCGACCTGCTTCACGCTGGCCCCGAACTGGTTCACCCGTACTTGTTCCGCCCCATCGTTCGCTATGTCCATTATCGAGTCTGCCGAATTCCTGTAGGATTCCATGCTGGCCGCGAGAATGCCGACGCGAGCAACCATCGTGTTCATGTCCTCGCGCATCTCGGTGACCGTCCCGTGGATCGGACTCGCGCTGGTCGCCAGCTTGGTGTCGACGTCCAGGATGGGTGCCACAGATCCTTGCGCCCACCCTGGCGCTTGACCCGCCGTGGCAAAAAACAACAGTGTGCGGGGGCAACGGAGGAGAAAAAGAGGGGGCCATGTACCCACCAAACGATCGTTCGAGCCTTCCCCCTGGCAAGGATCAAGCTCAAGCCGTCAGGGCCAAACGGCTTGAAGTTTGGTCAAAATGCTTGCACAAGGCTACACCACAAAGGTTGCACCGCACAGTTTGTACGACACAGATCACACCACATAGATTGCACCCCGCAGCCTGCACCACGTAGAGTTCACCACGTAGCTAACACCGCATAGCTTAGACCGCACATATTGCACCACGCAGCTTGCACCACACAGCCTGCACCAACCAGATTGCACCGCGTAGCTTGCAACACACATAGATTGGCCCACCTAGCCTACACCGCGTACCTCGGCCCACAGAGTTTAAATAAACAATTCGATGACACACAAGTTGGGGTCTTCGCTGGGAAACATGCGTTACAACATCTTGCTACAAGAAGCGAAGAGTACATTGTTCGGTCGGTTTTGGACCTCGCGGGGGGCCCCCAGAGATCCAATGAGAGTCCGGGGGCCGCCTGGGAATACTGGCAGGCCAATTTCTTACGCCGCCCGCTGAGTGTAAGAGGGACGCGTTGAAACAACAGGCCGCTGCTGCCGCTACTTTCGTGCTCGACTTCTGACCCCTGGATCCAACCGCGTTGATATCTCGCAATGTCCATGACACTACTGCGCTGCCGATGAAAAACGCCAATTCCCCACCGAGGGACAGGGACCGCGCCCTTCGACGCACCGGCCAGGGCAAGGCAAGGGGACCAGGAGAAGGAGGGAGGAGCGGAAGACGAGGAGGGCGCGAGGGTGGCTGCTGAACGCGGCTGCAAGCATGCCGATGTCTCGCAGCTGCTTCCGCCGGCTTCACGCTGGCCCTGCCTTGCCCGCCGCCGGCGGCGCTGCCGCCGCTGCGCCCCCCTCCGAGGAGGAGGAGGAGGAGGAGGAGGAGGAGGAGGGGGAGGAGGAGGAGGAGGAGGAGGAGGAGGAGAGGAGGAGGAGGAGGAGGAGGAGGAGGAGGAGGAGGAGGAGGAGGAGGCCCGCCTCTCCCGCGCGAGGGCGAGCCGCGCCACGGGCGGGGCCCTCCCTCGGAGCGCCCCGCGCAGGCTCCGGCGCTCCCCCTGCGCCGCCCCCCCCTTGCCGGCGGCGCCGCCGGCCTCTGCTTCGGCGCCAGCCTCTTGGCGCCCGGGTCGTCGTCCGCCTGCCGGAGGGCGCGAGTCCGCACACGCCCTTGGGGAGGAGGAGGCGGCGGAGGGAGGAGGGGGGAGGAGGAGGAGGAGGACGACCACGACGACGACGACGACGACGACGACGACGGCCACGGCCACGGCCACGGCGACGGCGACCACAACGGCGACGGCGGCGGCGGCGACGACGGTGTCCACGACGACGACGGCAGCGACGGCGGCGGTGGCGACGACGACATCCGATGAGGAATCGGGGGGAGGGACGGAGGGGGGAAGAAAGATGGGAGGAGGAGAAAAAGGAGGAGGAGGAGGAGGAGGAGCGACCCGCGCTCAGGAGGGGGGGAAGGACGTCCACCGTCCATGCTGCTCTCTGCCCTACCTCCCCCGGGCGCGCCTGGGCGGCCAGCTCGGGCAAGCGCGGCAACAGTCGGTGATCGTCGCGCCGACGTCCGAAGCCGCCATAATATGAGGCCACGGGTGCGCGTGGCATCGGGGGCAAGAGGGGATGAGCGAAGAGACTGAAAAGAGGCATGCAGCGAATCGAAAGCAACACAGGCAGACAGGAAAACATCACGTTCAGATTGGAGGAGGTGCGGGAGGAAAGATGAATAAGGGTCGGCACCATAGTCTTGTGGAAGAAGACGGAGCAGCTTACGGAGAATATGCACACCAATCGGACATGATACATAGTGAAGGCACGGATGAGACAGGCGCGAGCGTAGGTCTCCAACCTCCGAGCCTCAACTTTGCGCCCCATATTCTTCAGGTCGAAAAGGGAATTCGGAGGGAAGCTGTGCCTGGGGGCGCAGGTGAGTAGCTGCAGCCCATCTTTTTCAATACGACGTGCCAGAGCGCCAGGGTGGTGCACCTGGGCCACATGGGAGGCCACGGGGAGCCCATAAATGTTGCACGCTGCAATGCTGCTTGAGAGCCCCAGCCCCATAGAATTGATCCTGAAGCACCTCTCTTTCAACTTCGCTAATACGGGGTCCCAAGCGCTCCGCCGAAACAATCCCCACTCCCACCCCCAGGTAACACCCACACCTTGAAATCTGAAAGCTGCCCACGCGCATACCTGCAGCACGACAGAGCTAAAGAGCATCCCTACAGGCGCCAGGGTCAGGGAATACCAGCCGGCACTTCTTTGCGTTCAAAAGCAGACCTGTGCCGCCCCCCGCTCAGCTGAAGAAGCCGACAGAGGCGCGGGAGCACACTGATCACGTCATTAGCTGTCGCGGCCAGGCCATCGGCAGACACGTTGTAGGTAGTACCAGTACTAAGTGATAGCGATTGAAGTTTCCGAATAACAGGACCGAAACAACGACTGGATCATAAACCACTTTTTTTTTGGGGGGGGGGCTTAATCCCCCTGCAATACATAACCACGCACGGTTCAGAATTGTTAAAGCTCGCCAGCATACGACTGCCACGATGCAAAGCCATAGTACCCATAGTAATAAAATCAGGAATGACATAGCTACGAAGTACAGCCCAGATAGATTCATGGTTGATGCTAGGGGGCGCAACCTTATGGTCGAACAGAGCAGCTCCTGCCCTCTGCTGGTCACACGTAGAGTTATAGATCAGCAGGTTGGCGTCTAGCTCGACAATGTCGTCTATCACCTGGCGCCCTCGAAGGGCGCCTTTTTGGGGGTACTGGACCACGTCATTGGCAGCCTGCGATAACGGCCAAGCAATGCTTGCACTCAACAGTGCGTCGTCCGCGCTGGAGAAGGGAATCGGCCTAGTGCCCCCAGGGATGCGCGCCACCATCTCTTCTTCAGACGACTGGCCCTTCGGGGGGAAGGCGGCCGCGCTCGCGTTGAAGTCCGCGGACAGGCTCTGGCTCTCAACGAGCTCGCGGCACAGCGCATAAAGACACTGGAGGCCAACGTGCACTGCTGCTTGCCGCGCCGAGTAAATAGGCCCATCAGGGCCAGAACATGTTTCTTTCTTACTAGCTAAAAGATTCTCAAATATGTCCCCGGGAATAATCCAAGGATGTATCGATCCAAGTTTTGAAAGCATTGGTAATCATCTCGGGGAATTGGCTCAACAGTGGGCACGGGATCGGCAACGGTGTCGGAGTTGACCGAGCGGCGCTGGAAGACCCCACCCCAGTGCTCTGCTAGCAAGCGTGAACAGGCGGTCGGGTCAGCACGCGCAACTCCGCCCGCGTCTGTCACTTGCTGGAGGGAAGCCCGTCTGCCCGAGCGCCCCCAGGCAAGAGACATGCGGCGAGCACGGGCAAGCCGCTGCCACTCGCGCCTCCCCGTTGGCACCGCCAGCTTCCGCGCGCGCAGAGGCTTCGCGGTTCTGCGAGGACTGGCGCATCAGGCCAGCATCGAGCAGGTCAAAGCCCATGCGGTTAGACCACCGCATCTCCTTGGGATCAAAGCACCTACAGAGGTCAGGAAAAGCTGCGAGGCCCTTAGAGATCTTGCGGGGCCTGCAAGACTGCGGTTCTTCAATAATCCTAACTCCTTTCTCAAAAACCCAGTCCTTGACGCGATGAGCGGCAACGTGCGTTGCTCCCTTGATATCCTGGAGACGGGCGGTCGGGTCCGCGGACAGAAACTCCGGGTCCAGTAGGTCCCGAATCAGGATGCTGAACTGCGGGCGATTGCTTACCCAGGAGGCTGCGCGCGGGGGGGCCCGGCGGCGTCCAGCGCGCAAGTGAGAGGGTCACTGGGCAGTGGTCCGAGGGCGCCCCAAGGTCGGCGATCGGCCAAAGCGTTCCTGCGCGCGGGCAAAGGTCGCGGATGTCTTGCGAAGCGAGCGTGCACTAGATACGATCGAGCCGAGCATACGAGATGTGCGTGGTCTCTCCTTCGGATTGCCGACGAGCGATGCGATGCGTCCCCCCCCTGCGCCACTCCCCCAAGCATTCCCAAGATAGAATTAAAATGAGCAGCTAGTCTGGGAAATTGCAAACTCCCGCGTCCGCATTCGCACGCAGGCGCGACTCCCCCGTCGCCATAAAGTTCCAGTCGCCCAGCACGATACCGAGCGAGGCCGTAGGTGGTAACCGTGCACGCTGCATGTTATAGAATATCCCCCTCACTTCCCATTCAGCCCATTCAGGATCAATGCGAATATTTACTAGCTGACAACTGCCGAGGGTACCCTGCGAGAGAAGGTAGGCAATGCGCCCTGGAACAATCCGCCGGCCCCCTTGTGGGGCCACCAGGCTGTAGGCGCGGGTTCGCAGTTTCCAGTACCAGTTGTAGCTTGTAGTTTCCAGTGTTACAGTTCTGCTTCTTGCTGGTTACTGTAACTAGTTGACTTCTTGCTGGTTACTGTAACTAGTTGATTGACCGCGCGAGGGGGGGGAGGCCCACACAAGACTTTTAGCGTCTCCCGGGCGCGTTGCCTGAATTGCTGGGGGGGCTCGAAACCAACACCCCTCGCGCAGATCCGCGGGGTCAGGGTCCAAAAACACATTGGAATTTGCCACATTTCTGAAATTCGGTGCCACCCCTCACGCAGATCCGCGGGGTCAGGGTCCAAAAACACATGGGATTTGCCACATTTCTGAAATTCGGTGCCACCCCTCACGCAGATCCGCGGGGTCAGGGTCCAAAAACACAGGGGAGTTGCCACATTTCTGAAATTCGGTGCCACCCCTCACGCAGATCCGCGGGGTCAGGGTCCAAAAACACAAGGGATTTGCCACATTTCTGCAATTCGATGCCACCCCTCACGCACATCCATCGCAAGGCGTGGCAACCCAAACTGCGAGAACTCCCTCGGCCCTGTAATCGCAAGGTGTGGTAACCAAGCCCGTAAACCATACACGTCTTACCAATCGCCAGGTGTGGTAACCCCTCTTGTGATCAGTTGGTTTTGCTGACTGCGAATCGGCTTCGCATGAAGTTTCGATGCTGCTTCACGACAGCGCCAAGGCCTCATGACTTAGCTCTTCCATGGCCCATTCTCCGAGAGAGGGGGCCGGCGGCAGGGGGCGAAGCCCTTACGGATCACATGCAAGTTCACGACCTGAAACTGAGCCAGCAACTGGTTAGACATGAAAAAGAGCAGGCCGCCAGCCGACGCAGAAGCACAGAGGGAACCAAACGGACGGAAGGTTTTGTGATCCTTTGTTTACCTGCTCCAAATCTGGTTCAATACCGTGGAACTCCTGAAGACACACCACATCGTTTTTCCCGAGAGCGGACTTCAGACGTCGAAGCCTCTCACGAATTACATATTGACTGGTAAACGCAGATCCCAGGATCGTCCGAACATTCCATGTGCACACACGCAACCGTCGACCCAAATTATAAGGACGAGAAGGGGGGGGGAGAGCGGGGGCTGCTGCTAGGCGCAGGCGGCAGGCCGCGACAGTAACTAGCATGGCAAGCACGAGCGCGCGGCAAAGGGTTGGCCCCCAGGCTGGAGGCGCTCCAAACAGCGCCAAACAGCGCCCCCGCCCACAGGACGCTGCGCCCGGCGCTGTCGATCTGGATGTGACTGCCCGTCGTGCACTTCCTACTGTCGGGCGGATGCGTCCGCGATGATCTTCAGCACCGTTTCGTAGCTGATGCCCCACTCCGACAGCTCTGCCGCAATAGGGTGGAACTCTTCTTGCCCCAATCCCGACCCCTTCGTCTTGACGAGCTCCCACGCATCACCTGCGCCGATGATCTGGAGAACCCCATTTGAAACCGTTGACCCCGAGGCGGCAGTCGCTCGTCCACTTGGGCGAACGCCTGTGGGCCACGAGGAACGGGTCGTAGATCTTGTTGAACGCTCTCTGCCGATCCCGAACATCGAGCGGGAGGTCCTGCCGACAGCGAACGTCGACCGTCGTATTCGCCCGCTTGTCCGTCCACGCATGACCGCCCGTCTCGTTGCACGCCTTTTGAAACACCTTGGCACTGATCGGGCTCGGGAACTTGAGCTTGTATGACTGCGAAACTCCATGGAGCGTGGTTTCCACACTTCGAGCAAGTGTTGGATACGCCGCACGAGATGCTCCTCATAGTGAGCTTTGCGAGCTTCACGAAACAGC